TTATTAGTTTATTTGCCATGTAAGCAATAAGGGCAATTCAGCCCTTTTACAATTAGTCAACATATATAAATATTAAGAGTGGGTCAGCAGATCTACTGATCAACCCTCTCTCTCTTTTCAAAATCTCTTTGTGTGCTTCTTCTCTTTTCTCCCTCTCTTCTTCTCTTTTGAAATTTCTTATTTCTTTTCTTTGAATTCAAGACTGATTGTAGTCTTGATCGACTACTTGGTATTAGAGCCAGGTTAGGAGCTCTTATGTTAGTCTAATTAGATTGACTACATGAGAATTTCCTAGGTTTAGAAGTATTTCAACAAAGGAGGATTGACTGATTCTTGGAGGTTACTGGTAGTGTGTGGCTGCTACTAAGAAGGTTGTAGAAGGCTGGGAGAGTTCCAGTAGTCGGGAAGAATCAGAAAAGGCTTTGGATCCTCAAGGTTAGGGTTTTGCATCAGATAGAAGGTGGCGGCCAGAGATTTTTTCATAAAGTTTTTTTTTCTTGAGAATAACCTTGGAAAAAATCATCTTGGTCTATTTTGAGAGGTGTGGCTGGAAAATCTGTTTTTTTTCCTTTAGGGTTTTGAGAGAAAACCCTAAAATTCAGAACTGTTGTTGGTTTCAGATCAGATTTTGAACTGGTTTCATATAGAATCCTGTTTTCTTTGTTCTTTGGAAGACCTAGGCCGGTTGTTATCAGTTGTTTGGGTGTTGTTTTTCTATTACAGTAGTTTAAAAGGTTTTTTATTATTAATTATTGACCAAGAATGGAGTTCAAGAATCAAGGGGAAGGTGTTTTTGGGACTAGCAATTCTGGTAACATGTCTGAGAATGCTTTTCAGATTACAACTGTGAAGTTTGATAGATCAAACTACTTAGAATGGGCTCAATCGGCCATGATGGCCATTGGGGGGGTAGAGGAAATCTCAGCTACTTGTTGGGAGATGTGAAAGAACCAACTAAGGAGGACCAAACTTATACCAAATGGGTTCAGGTGAACTATTTGTTTATGACATGGCTATGCAACTCTATGCAGTCACATATCAGTCGGAACTATTTGTGGGCAAAAACAACCAAGGAAATTTGGGATGTCATGGAGACTTACTCCCAACCCCTTAATGTTGCTAGAGCTTATGAATTGAAGTGTGAGGTTAACAACCTTAAGCAATGAGAGAAACCTCTCGGTTTACTTCTCTACCTTGAAATTTGTGGCATGAAATTGACCACCTAGAAACACTTGAGTGGGAAAGTCAGAAGGATGCACACTCATAGAAAACAAGTTGAAACTAATAGGGTTTTTGAATTCCTAGCTGGTCTGAATCCTGACTATGATATTGTGAGACAACAAATACTAACAAAGGAGAGTGTGACCTTATCCCAAGCCTACTCCTTAGTGCATAGTGAAGAGACTAGGAGAAAGGTTATGATGCAGCATCAGCCCTTCCCACCAGCCTTAGAAGTAGTTAAACCTAAGTCTGGGGGTGATACGAAGAGGGATACAAAGAAGGAAGATAAGCGGGATCTAGTGTGTGAACATTGCAAAAACCTAAGCATACTAAAGACACGTTGGAAGCTGCACCGTCATCTAGTTCCAACAAAACTAGGAACAAAAGGGGTAATGCTCATATGGTTGTTAATACCGATTCTGCATCCTCATCGAGCACAAAAGGCACGCCTCTAGACACCCTAGCTGTTGTCCGGGCTGCCCTACTCAGTTGGAAAAGGAAGTTGGGATCATCTCAGCCACCATCAACTCCTCCCACATCAGCCTTTGCTCATTCAGGTACTCGGGCCTCAGCTTACCATGCTTCAACTCCAGGTAACACTGAACATTGTTGGGTAATAGATTCAGGTGCATCTGACCATATGACTATCTTGCAATCACTGTTCACTACCTATCACTTATCTTCTGGTAGAGATAAAGTGTCCATTGCTGATGGTTCCCTTGTTCCCATTTTTGGCAAGGGAGACATCAAGTTATCTAATATCATTTCCTTATCTTCAGTTCTGCATGTTCCTAAGTTTGATACTAACTTGCTTTCAGTCAATAGTATTACAAAACATCAGAATTGTTCAGTAACCTTTTTCCCTGACCGATGTGTTTTTCAAGACTTGGAGACAAGGAAGGTTATTGGGACTGGCCGTGAGACGAATGGAATCTATCTGCTTGGAGAGAGTTCTCATTGGGAAGATCGTGAAGATAGGAAGTCTTTTGTTTCTCAGTCTGTTAGTCAGGTTATGCTTTGGCATAATTAGTTGGGTTATTTATCCTTTTGGTCTTTGAAGAGTTTGTTTCCAAATTTGTTCAAGTCTGTTCAGATGTCAAATTTGAGATGTGAGAGTTGTGAGCTTGCAAAGCATTGTAGAACATCTTATTCCTTGAGTAATAAAAGTAGTAATTCTTTTGATATTGTGCATACCGATGTTTGGGGCCCGTATCACATCACAGGTTCTTGACATGAAGCCTCCATTTACCCTTCTATACCCCGATAAAGAATTGTTTATTGTTCCCCTTAAAACCTTTGGTTGCACTTGCTTTGTTTAGATTCTTGGACCTCATCGTTCCAAATTTGATCATAAGGCCTCTGAATGTATTTTTCTCGGTTATGCACAAACTCAAAAGGGTTATTGCTGCTATGACCCTTTTGAGGAGGTACCCTATTACCCTAGGGTTTCTCCTCASGGGGAGAGTAGTGAGAGTGGGKTTAACTCATYAGAAGTTCCTTTACCTATTCCATTGAGTGATGAGGGATGTAATGGGGAGGGTTGTCAGAGGTGTTAGGATTTGCGAGTCTATCACAAGCGGTGGAGGCAGGTTGATTTCGGTCATCAGTAGTCCAGGCCAGCCCCAGTTCCTTCTGCGGATCCAGATCCAGGTACCACTAGACCTGTTCATGGGTTGGGTAGCCCGATGGCCCGGCCTGCACCCCGGTCGGGCTTGGTCATGTAATTAGGCTTGCGGGCCTGACCTCGGGCCTAACACAGTAAGCCCGATTGTGTTTCGGGCCGGGCTCGGGATTTGTCAAAAAAGCCCGGCCATGCCCAACTCAGCATTATATATTTTATAAAATATATAATATGTATTTTATATATTATATAAATTATATAAATAATATAATATTTATTAAAATATATATTTATAATTTAATATATACATTTTTTATTCTTTTCTTTATAATCTCTCTCTCTCTCTCTCTCTCTCTATTCAGCCGCTAACAGTATGGGCTAAATTTCGGTCTTGGGCCCTGGCCCGGGCTTCGGGCTTTTTATGAGGGCCGGGCTCGGGCTCGGGCTCCAGCCTTAGAAAATTCTGTTAATACAGAGTGAAAGCCCAGCCCGGCCCATGAACAGGTCTAGGTACCACAACCCCTTTATCAGATCCAGGTCCCACTGAGATACCTTCCACTGTTGCTACTTTACCCCCTTAGGATGACCTTGACCTCCCCATTGCAGTCCGTAAAGGCAAACGGCGTTGCACCACATCCACAGCTCACTGCATTTCCCAGTTCCTGTCCTATGATCGCCTATCCCCCTCTTACAGGTCCTTTCTCACATCCATTGCTGATATTCCTATTCCCAGAACAGTGCAGGAAGCCTTGTCAGTTCTTGAGTGGAAAGATGCAATGAAGGTTGAAATGGATGCTCTTCTGAGGAATAATATTTGGGAGCTAGTTGACCAGCCTAAAGGAAAGAAACTGGTTGGATGTAGATGGGTATTTATTGTGAAA